GACCCCAACCACTGAAGGTCGCGTGCACGAACAGGCAAAAAAAAGGCCTGGGAAACATATTGAGGGCCTACTCACACTAGGGACTCCTTTGGCAAAATTATTAACTTTGCTATGGTTTTGCAGTCAGACTTTGCCCGCCGGCCCATCAAATTCGCAATTGGCGGAGCAAATGTCAGTGGCCTGCAGGGCCGCGGGGTTGAGCAATTTGAGGTGCTGGCATCCCCCCCCCCCCCCCCCCCCCCCCCCCCCGGCCCGGGCACCTTCCAGTGCTCGATGAAATCCTCAACTCAGATAGTTACCTTCCATCCTTGGCAAATTGTTAATTAATTAATTAAAAAAAGACAAAAAGCTAATTAAGGACTGGCTGATCTATACATCAAACCAGTGGGATTTTGCCGGTATCACCTAATATAGGCCTTTAACGTTGTAAGTTGTTGTTTTGTCACCTGTCCCCCAGTCAACGGCTGGGTAATAAAAAATGGACAATAAGCAAATTGTCCTTTGGGACATGCGTTAAAAAAAATTAAGATCAAGTGTAGTATCTGTTTTGATCAGTTTAATATCTGATCCGTGACCCATCGGGTCTATAAAAAAAAAAAAGATTAAAAAGATTGGAAAGATATAGAGAATGAAGATTAGCATGGCCCCTGCGCAATGAGTTCTAGCCCAGAGCAGCCGCGGAACTCAATCCAACCCCTGAGTTCGAATCCTGATGGAATCAGATCTCAATCTCAAAATTCCGGGTTACACAGATTCTCTGACGGTCACCCCAATTGAGCCCGCTCAACCTAATCCCCAGCTTAACCCCCAGCTTAACCCCCAGCTTAACCCCCAACCTTACCCCAACAAACTTTAAGCCCCAATTCCTAGTTCAACCCCTCAATCTGTAAGCGACCAGACTGAGCAACCTCCTGAAAATAAATCTTCACCGCTTACACCTCCTCCTAAAGGATCAGGCTAACCCCTGCAGAAAGAGAAAGTCCGGGGAATAAAAGCAAAACAAAACACAAGAAAAAAACGCACTTTGGCCATATTTAAATTTGCCAATCCAAGGGGGAGCCACCGAGAATTGGGGCTTTTAAGGCGGCTCTGGTGACTGACTATGTTGTTGTTGTTGTTTTTCCCCTTTTTTTTTTTTAAATGCTGGGTATGTTTATTACAAAATGATGACTGACGTCCTTCGGGACATCCGTTAAAATTGGAACCATACAGAGAAGATTAGCATGGCCCCTGCACAAAGCAAGAAAACTAATTTAAAAATGATGACGGACTATGATGGGGGGAAAGTCTAATTTGCATTTCTAACCCTGCCCACGTGGCTGAATTATACGGTACACCTGTCCATGTAACTGTTGATAAACAGACCTGAGTTCGAACCCACCCACACACACACATGCGTGGGTGTGTGGGAACGCGGCCAGCCCCCCCTCGCACCCACACACACACACATGCGCCCACCCACCCACCCACACCCACACGCACACATGCACCCACCCACACACATGCACGCACACATTCGGGATTCTTCCTGTTGGTGGCGCGACAGGCACAACACCGCTCGATCACGAGGTCGTAATCCCTGCGTCTCTAACTGACAACGTGTTGACTGGCTTGCCCATTTTCGCTGGAGTACTGATTTGTATTCTGCGGGAGAGTGGTATAAAAGCAACTGTGGCAGCTAGATACTGCCACTGCAACTGAGCACTTTGAAGTACAGTTGAGAGGTATTGACCAACAGCTGCTCCAACCAGGTAATGGTCCACTTTCTGTTGGTGGAGTCATTTATGCTGTTGTGAATATGCCCTCTGGGCGTCTGTATGTTGGCCAGACAATTCATACTGCACATCAACGTTTGAAGGAGCATTGGCATGTGCGACATTCTGCTGTTGATTATTATCATCGGCATCTCTATCACGTTATGTGACAACAGTCTCCTTTCAATTTTGCTGTTTGGCCACTTGAATGTATTGATCTTGCACTCTACATTAATGATCGTGATGAGATTGATCATGCCCTCTTTCGGCGAGCGGCCTCACCTAGAGAAGGCTTTTGGGTCCGACGGCTGCATACCTTGCACCCTTGGGCCTCTTATGCAGTTCTGCCTATGTCTCCGCCTGCTTGACGGAGGCCACGCCCTGATCGCTGGCGGCAAGTTGGTCCTGCCCCTGCTGCTTCTCTTCACTCTGCTGCTTCTCCTCACCCATCTCCACTTGTCGCTTCCTCTCGGGCCTTTATCATTGATATTAGTCTGGGCCCTCAACTTGCAGTACAAACAACGTTACGACAGTTATTGACATTAGGCGCACTGGGTACTCGGTCCGAAGTTGTTGCTTCCATTCAGCGGGCTATGCCCGCTTGGCGAGGTCAGTTGCTGCAATGGCTGTATACAAATGGAAAATGCCAACATGACGGAGGACGCCCATGAACTTGAATGCCTTATTCGACGATTTCAACATGTCCGACAGCGATATACTGCCCATTCCCGTGACACCTTCGGAAACTTTATCAGGATTGTGCATATGCACGAGATCCTGAAGGCCGCTAAGCTGCGCCATGTGTTGCATTCACTGGATGTGTGTGCATTACACCCTGACCCTCAGGCAGCCAGCACTATTCGCATGTGTGACGGACTTGTACCTCCAACAAAGGTGCAATTTTGTAATTTTACGGAAGTTGCCTTAAGTGTCACTCTGGGCCTGCACTTACCTGTTGCTGCTGATTGTCCTTGTTGTCAGGCTTTTCCTAACTGCACCGATCTGGTTGACGGCCATGTTGTTTCCGCCAACTATGATCTGATTCCGGATGGTAACCTCCATTGCCTGTTCTATGAGGGCTCTAAATATCGGCTGAATGGGGTAGTGGGGGATATACTTGAAGCACTGGCTGTTGGTATTGATGAGTATATTGTTGCGTATCTTCGTCCGACAACACGACAATCCTGCTCAGCTACCCTAGCTCCACAACTGGCTCTGTGGCGTGCCGCAGTTTTGCGTCACTGTGAGTGCAATATGGCTGCCACTTCACCTTTGTGACAACCTCGCTTCTTGCGACACACACATACGGCTCTGCGTCAGCTCCAAGAATCCTTTGCGATTGTTCCTGTGGATAAAAACATCACATAACCTGGCTATATCGTTTTCGTCTTTCTACTCATCCTGACAGTCCTACGTATTCTAGGCCCGCCGAAACAGCGGCTGACATTCTGAATAGTCATACACTTTGGAACAATCATTGAAATTATCCTCATGCTGACACATTGTCGTATCTTTATTGCGCTCTTAAGGCCCATAAGTCTCCCCCGACACTTCGTACTATTCTTGGTATCACTGCCCACAACAATCTTTCTTCTTCTTCTTCCCATACGGCTCAGCGGAGTGACCTGTGGCCCTCCCAACGAGTCCAGCGTTTGCATCACCGGCCGCCTCCCAAGCCTGTGGCTAGTACAACACCTACATCGACTCGTTTGAGTGCGGCACTTCAAGGCTTCGCCAAAAAGATAATCAACTCTTCCAATCCGAAGGTATTCGACGATGTTGGATTGTCTAGAGCAGTGACAAGGTCATGCTTGACCTCAAAAAGAATAAAGCTTCTCTCCGAGGTCTGGCCCCTCATACGGTCGATTTCACTATGATGTATACTAATCTTTTTCATCAACGGATTCTTAGCAATGTTGCTAATGCCGTTGATGAGGCACATGCCTATGCTCTTGCACAGGCACGACAACATACACGGGCACGCTCATCTTGTGTTGCTCTTCGTATGGTAGTCCGTGGACCGCGTGCAGGGGAATGGACTACGGATA